TCCCCACCCACCCGGCGGCAGCGTTCGCAGAGCGTCTCCTGCGCACGCGCAGGAGACGCTCTTGCACTTTCGGGGGGATTTTAACATCCCCCCGAATTTTTTTTTAATTTTTTTTATTTTTGTGCACACGTGGGGACTGGCCCACGTGTGCACAAACCTCCCCCGGCCCCCCAGCTGCCCCCTCCGTGCTGATTTAAGTATCCGCACGGAGGGGGCAACTTCAGCATTAGTATAAGGATAAAATATATAGTTTTGAACATAGTTGTGAATTGTAGATGGTCTTCCCTTGGTGGATACTGTTTGTGGTTACTTTTGAGCTGAGCACCCAAGGTGCTCACACGGCTTCGTTCACGCTTGAAAAGGAGCACCCCCCCCCCCCAGGTCTGTTTTTCCTATTGTCCTTGGAATAGTTTGAATACTGCAAGGGATGATTACTGTATATACACACAGCACCGGGACTGGTAACTCCCCAAGGTGTTGAAGAATGACCTTTTTGGTTTCTCTCCCTCTGTTGGAAAGGCAAAGTTGCAGGGAGATTTTATGATGAAAACGGGAGCCCCACGCCTCTTCTGCAGCAAGCCCAAGCACTGATCGATGAAGGGCAGAGGCTGCAGGCCCGAGAGGAGGAGAAAAAGCAACGCTTCCCGCCTTGCAACGCCGAGTGGCGCTCAACTTCTGGAAGTAGAGTCTGGTGTTCCAAGGAGAGGTATGAGTTGCATTCAGGAGGAGAGGTGGTAGAAAAAGGGACAGGTGGGCAGGGAATCGGGGCTGTAGTACTTCACCACCTTCACATCCAATTTGTTTTATTATTTACCAGTGAGGACCTGTGAGGACTCACAAAAGAAGGGAGATTCTGTACCTTTCTGTTATCTACATGGCCACAGTCCTGCCCGTTCGGTATCCCCACTGACTCTGCCCCTTCCCCTTACACACACTTTTACTCACAGTCCCAGGAGCTGACACCACCGCCTCAGTGGCAGCAGGTATCATTTTGGATTCACAACTAGGGTTGCTACTTAGCAAGGCTCCCTCTAAGCTGCGGAGTCTTGTGAGCAAAAATTCTACTTTGTGAGCTACTGGCATTAAAATTGTGAGCGAGCGACTTTGCTCCTGCATAAATTAGTTTGCTCTGGAGCCCTCCTTCCCGAGCTAAGACAGAAATGTGTGAGCCGGAAGCTAAAAAACTGAGCCTTAACAGCAATTAGAGTCTGGGATGAGAAGATTCTGTCAATACTGGGGGGAAATCTGTTTGCCTAGCTGACCTGGGCACTCTGGTAGAAAGGTGGCGTTCACAATCTCTGCTGTTCTTCTAGCTGATGACTTCTGTTTTGTTACTGTGCAGTTGAGAGACCTGCTTTCCCCTCTGCAGATTAGCCACCAAATCAGGATCTTTGTTTTAGGAGTCAAGATTAACCACGTCTCAGAACAGGGCCTTTTCGGTGGTGGCTGCAGAAAATACTCCCTCCGAGAGGCTTGTGTCATTCTTTGATCTCATTATGGAGTCTAGCATGAGCTTTTTCTTCCAAGAATGGCAGATTCAACGTTGGTTCTTACGTTTGGTGATTTTATTGGGGTTAAAATCTTTTTAAACCACTTTGGGGAAGATGTCTGGTAATAAGCTGTGTAGAAATGGATAAATAGCTGTGCCCCATTGTCGTAAGTGGGGTGGGGAGAGCTTCAGGAAGTACTTCTTCACCCAAAGAGGGATTCACACATGGCATTCACTGCCACAGGAGGTGGTGGCGGCTACAAGCACGGACAGCTTCAAGAGGGAATTAGATAAGCATATGGAGTTGAAGTCCATCAGTGGCAATTAGTCACAAGGTATAGATAGGAACTCTCAGTCTGGAGCAAGTGATGAACTGTATTCTTGGTGCTGGGGGGGGCAACAGTGGGAGGGCTCCTAGTGTCCTGGCCCCACTGCTGGACCTCCTGAGGGCACCTGCTGTTTTTGGCCACTGTGTGACAGAGTGTTGGACTGGATGGGCCATTGGCCTGATGCAACATGGGCTTCTCTTATGTTCTTATTTTTCCAAGCATATCTAAGCTGGAATCATTTCCCTGCTTGTCTTTGCAGTGGCGGAATCAGCAGAGGCTGGGCCGGCGTCCCCAGAAAGATGTATGAGCCAGGCTCGCGGGGCAGCCACTGTGTGTGCGTGAGAACAGAAGGGTCCCCCTCTGAGCCATCCTCTTCCTTCCAGCCCAGCAACAGAGGTGATCTGGACAACCCCAGGCTGCAAGAGTATGAAGACTGCCACCCACTGGCCAATTGGTGTGCTCTGAAAGACGAAGGCAGCATTTAGATGCCAGAAGGAACTCCAGTGAAGCCAAGATTCGTACACAGAGCTTGTTGGTCACTTCACTTCTCCTCATCTGCTCTGAAGCAAACACTGTTTCCCTATGATGTGTGAATGGAGGTGGCCCCAGGTGAACTGGAGTTCTGTTCCCCACAATCTGGGATTAAAGAAGGGAACCCATGTGCTGTTTTGAGTTGACTTGACTTGAGCCAGTTTGGTGTAGTGGTTAAGTGCGCGGACTCTAATCTGGGAGAACCGGGTTTGATTCCCCACTCCTCCACTTGCACCTGCTGGATGACCTTGGGCAAGCCATAGTTCTGGCACAGCTGTTCTTGAAAAGGAGTGGTTTCTGTCAGAGCTCAGCCCCACCCACCTTTCAGGTAGTGAAGGGCGGGGTATAAATCCAATCTCTTCTCTTCTTCTTTTGAAAATCTATGGGTGCGAGTCAATAACACAGTCTCTTCTCTTTGAATTCTGGGGCACGACCTTGCTAGCTAACAGAGAGGAATACTACCAGGTGTTCTGTATAAAGTGGTCACTGCCACAGGGACAGTTGTCTTGTCTTGCATCCTTCAACAGTGAAGTGTTCATTCTCTCCATATTCCAAAAATGCCATTCCGAGATGGCACAAAGGCCAGCCATATTATAATTCACTTTCCGAAAGTAGCACAAAGTCACTTCTGCAATCAGAACTCTCAAATGCCATCTTGATTCAATAAAATGCCGTCTTGATTCAATAATACTTGTTTATTACAAGAATTTAAACACAGCCATATAAATATTGTAAAAAAACATTGCTTTACAAGGCCTTGAGGGGGGAAAAGCTGCAGTTTTTTTTTTTTAATGATTTTTTTCCTGAAGGACCAAGACTCTTGGGAACTAGGTGCTATTTTAAAGTGATTTTTCTATACAGTAAAACAGACACAAAATCTACTACTGGATAGGACAACGGAATACAGAGAGATCCATTCCACAACGAGGTCCCAGTTTGCAGAACGCCACTGAGATAGTAAGCCCTGGATCTGGGCTGTGCCACTCACAGCGCAAGTATAAACTCGAAGGGTCTGAATGCTTTTATATACAGAAGAAAAATCCCTAGATGTAGACTAGCTTTGCCCAGCTGACTAGGCCACAGTATTCCCCAAGATCTAGTTTTCTTGGTGCAGGGAACAGGATTGTATAGAAGAGCATTCTCCTTTGCAAGTTCCACCCCTGCAGTCTGAAGCAACACAGCCCTCACAGGCCTACCTTCTCGGCTATTCTTTGCAAGGATACTGGACCCGTGGAAGATTCCCTTGTATTCGTAACAGGCAACGCATTTCAATGTCATGTAGGAAAGCTACACAAGCTGACAGTTTTACAGGCAGAGTTAAGGCATCTCATCTTTTTGCAAAGTGGGTTAGTACTTAGTATTTTTCAACTAACAGCCTCTTCCTATGTGAAACGTTGGCAGACTCATTCAGAGCCTAGTTCCAGAGACCTCACATCTCATCCCTAGGGCTTGAATCTACTTGAACGAGACAACCAAGATAAGCTCAAGATAAACAAGGACCCTCTTTCCCCTTGGGCTAAGCCAGAAGCAAGGCCCTTTCCCCCATCACCTTAAGCAGTGATTAACCACGGGAGAGCATGTCTTCAAACCTTTACCTTCCTTTGAGTAAAGGAAGCCAAACTTCGTGATGTCCATCGGACCAGAGTTGTGTGACAGATCCAAGCATGCGTTGTCCAAAGCTAAGATGCCAAAGATCTCAGCTCCCCAAAGGACTCGTTTGACTGGAAAGCAGCAACTCAAAAGCAGACGCAGCTAAGCATTCGGCAGTCTGGTTCAAGACCGGTAATCCCCTCGTCCCCAAGCAGGCCTGTGCTAGACCGATCCATCAGGAATATTCCCATCGGACAAAATTCCTGGCTTTGCCATCTTCAAAGATGGAGACTCTTGTACACCTGGTGAGACAAACCACACACACGGGGTTGGGGGCGGGGTTAGGATCAGAAATTCTACCAGCTTGAACAATAACACCAGCTGACTGCAGAGATGAGTTCACAAAGTTGGGACAAGGAGCTACATCTCCTCTCCCCTTCACCCCAAAACTAGCATGGAGGAAAGAGCGGGGACTGGAGAGCACTCCCCTTAGAGCAGATGTGGCTCCACCTCTCTTATTGGCTCCTTCCGCAGCATTAGTTGGGCAGCAAGTGTCTTGCAAGGCAAGAGCCCCCTTCTCTGAGTGGAGGTATTAGGAAAGCCTTCACAAGCTCCTGAGTCCAAACTGGGAGTGTCTGTGTCTGTTTTTGTCCCTTCAGCCCATTTGGAAATGTAGCGACCAGAAACGAAGGCAGGCTTCACCCCACCACTCAGCAGCTCATACTTAGTTCCAGTTCACCAGTCCGAATGCCACATTGGTGCCCAAGAAGCAACCAGGTGGAGGAGGACAGACCCAAAAAAAGAATGGTGGTGGTTGCTTGGAGCCAGGTATGGAGGAACTGAACAGAACACAGCAAACCCCAAGCCCACTTCGCCAAGCTTTCTGGAGAAGCAGCAGAGATGGCCGTGGTTTTAACTGTATCCCCTTTGCGTCGCCTGCTGTCTGAATTCTCAGGTGTCTTTCCAAGTGGGCAGCAGTCATGACAACTGGTATGCACAGGCCTATCTGGAGGAGAAGGCCAGCGGGGCACTGGAGTCTTGGCCTCAGGGAGGGTCTTCAAAAGCTCCTGGCTCCAAAGGTTCTACACATCCGTTTGGAAGTTCAAGAATCTCAAGGGGGAGGAGGCAGGCACCTCCTTCCTCCACCCCCACCTCCCAATACAGCTGCATCAACGCTCCAAACAACCGGTAGTCCCAATCAATCACATGGTGCCTTTGGCAGGGAATCGTAGAACAAAACTCTGCAGCTCCAGGTTGTGAACTGGGGGCTCCCCTCAAAGTTATTAATACCCACAATTCTCTCTTATCTGGAAACGCCTGGCTGGGATTATCACAATTCTTAAAACCTCCTCCCTCCCCCAGTGTACTGCCCATACATGATTCATTTAAAGTTCCCAGATTAGCCAGGATCCAGGTTTTAAGGCCGTGAGAAGCAGCTGGTCCTCATTAGTGTTAATAAGACTACCCCGGAAACTTTCACTTAGCTTTTCAAACTGGGGAAGAATTTTAGGCACCTACCAGAATTAGTCTTCCATTTCACAGCAAGTGACATGAATAGATTTTTAGCGCAAACAGAACGGTAAGAATCTGGGGGCTTCTGATCCTCCTATAAAGCCACCAGGACTCATCCTCTGCAAGAAGGCTGCCATGCGGAAAGTTTCGGCTATCAACGATCTCTTTCTCGTCTCACACAGCTGCTGTATGGGAGGCATTCAAGTCCCCCTATGAGCATAAGCTGACCAGCTTGGCAATGGTGCAAAACAAACATGGGGCCAAGTTGGGTAAAGTTTAGACTTAAATGTTTTATTAAAAGTGCTTTACAGTGATTAGTTTTGTGCAACCTGACAAAGCCCACCTAGAATCACCCCCCCTTCCCAAACGTACTGCCTGAGGACCACATCTCATAAGCAGTGTTCCACTTTCCCATTCCCCTGGGCCCTGTGGGTCACTCGTGCCATTCTGGAAGTCAATCGTCATCTAATTTACCATCCATCAGAAGAGAGCTGCACTTGTTCATTGGATTAGGCAAGTTATCAAACTTATGCAAGGCCAGTTCGGAAAAACAGTCCATCTTATCACGACTTCAACTGAAGTTCAGATTCATGACATTTTATCAAGACTGGATCCAGATCGAGGGTGCACATTTGGACTACTAACCTTGGACAGACAGTCAAGGTCACGGACTATCCCCATGTCTCAGGGTTTGGTTGTATGTGTTCCCCCCCCCCTCCACACCAAACAGTCTGGACAATTCATTTCAAAAATCTTTGGGAGGTAAAGTGGGAAAGAGAACAATTCCATCAAGGCGAGTTAACACCTCTGGCCCACAGATGCTTATTATCCAGCCTTCTAGCTGCTTAATTTGTTGGAAGCCCTGGCTGGTTAGACTGTGGGGGCCAGTGCTCCCCAAAAACTGAAAATACGCTGAGGGCCGAGCACCAGTAAGAGCACCTGCTTCAGAGGACTCCTAAGTTAGATGCGGGTTCCTTCCATTTCTAATGCAGGATGAAACCCCAAAAAATTGCCCAGCCCCATTTTAGAGTGAGGGAGTGGACTGACACGCAAAAAAATCACCCCTCCACATAGCCCCCTCCACAATTCATTGCTGCCACACAGCTGAAGAGGCCAGAGTTCCAGTTTTTCTTCCCACAGGGTCTAGAAGGCCGAGCAGCAAACTCAGATCCCTCTTGAAATGTACTGTTTTAGCATTAACTTTTAAGAGTTCTCCCTTAAAGAGTCAGCTTTTTCTTCGCTCTTTTTTTTTTTACTGCACGCACCCCAGGTTTTCACTTAACATACAAAGGAGTAATTATCCTATAAATCACAGAAATATAGAAAAGTAGCACTCTGATATCAGCTCTTTTTACATATATATACGTAGTTGATAACATTACAGGACAGGTTAGTATTGGGCGGGGTGGTCAACGGGACCCGAAGTTGTGAATGATATTCTGCCTCCCCTTCCATGCATACACACATTCACGCACTGGAAAAGTAGTAGTTACCGAAGGTAAGAGAAATGCACGTCACGAGTGATTTCGTTTGTGGGACGGCAAAGAGGTTTGAGCTACACACTTCTTTCTGGTTTTGTTTGCTTCTTTTCTTTTTTTTTTTTAAAGGCAAACAAGTTTTCTACTTAAACATATGGTGGGTTTGCAGCCGTTAACAGTCACACTCGCCAGTCACGACATCATTCAGGGTCTTCCTTTCGAGGGGGACCCAATTCTGCTGTTCTCTAGAAGCACAGCTAGTGTAAGATAACCCTTGCAAAGGGGATGCAGTGGAGGGAACGTGTGCTTCTATATTGGAGTCCAGAACTGAAACAAAACTCCCACATCGGGGCAAGCGGCAAATGCCGTGCACCCTAGCCATCTCGAGTCGTGGGAGCAAAATGTGACGTGACTTCCTCCGTGACCAGCGTCCTCCTTGGGGTCATCCCCTTTCTGTCGGGCACCAGCGGCTGCCTCATCCCCAGATTCACCGTACATCATCACACATGCACTCCACAGGAGCTCTGACGCACCAAACATTCCTTTCTAACTCCACCACCACCACCGGAACTTCCTGCATCATCATTGTAAACATAGGACTATTTTTGCCAAGCAAACTGATGATCGTTAGGCAGGAGACAAGCCAGTAGCTTATGCGGATCTCTTCCTTCGAGGAGCAGTCGCTGAATGCGGTCAAGACAGCCTCACCTCTTGTCCCCTTGGACTTGAGAGCACGGAATGGGGTGGGGGAGAACCGGGCAAAGACACGAGAGCTGTAGTTGTGGTTCCGTTCCTACAGGAGGGAAAACTCTAAAGCTTTTGACGTAAGGCCACACAAAAGAACTCAGCAATGTGTTAAACAAAACCCTGTTTTTGGAAAGGGCGGTTTGTTGTGCACAGTGGAGTTGCCCATTTGACAAAAAAGCTGAACAAGTATAGGATCAGTCTCTCGGAGAATGTAACAAAAAGGGGGAAGATCACACGTAGTTACCCAGAGACAAGAGCTAGCAATCTCTCTTTTAAAAAAAAGGGGGGGGAAAGATCCATCACAGGACTTCCGAGAGTTCCTGCATCAAGGCCTGCTAAGGCCTATTGTGTGACATGATCAGTTAATGCAATAAGTTTCACTTTCGATACCCCATACTATGATAAGTGGAGGGTCAAACCCAATTTGTGTTCATTTTCTCACTTTGCAACAGTCCCAGTTTGTTTCCAGGTCCAGTTTCTAGCCACTACCCACCATTAACATCCGGCACTTGTACAAAATACTCATTTATACTGGAATATAGTGTTTACGTGGTCCCTTAAGTCGGTCGAAGTCTATTGTAACAGGAAGACAAGTATCAGCTCCTTCATCCCCATTGATTTGTCACTGAGTGGTGATTTGTCACTGAGTGGCTACAAGGTGGGTGGGCAGGACAGTGCTTGGAAGCCACTCCCCTTCCTGCGGGCCACACTAGGAGACTCCGCCCAGCGTCAAGACGTCAAAGCAGATGTTGCAGACACGGACCGGCTTGTTCAGGTCGAACTTGATGATGGGGATCTCCTTGGTCGAGCACTTGTGGCACAGCAAACGCCCACAGTGCCGGCTGCAAGGAAGGAAATGGGTTTAACTAAATGAGAGGCCTCGTATTGCATCCAGGGTGGGGGGTGGGGCGGAACAACAGAAGGTCTTCTTATCCCGGGGAGTTTTGCAAACATCAGGCTGCAAAGCAACCCTCTTTGGAAACTGATGGGAGTTTAAGAAGCCGTTTATGTGAGAACAGAATTACAGGGAAGAAGGGAGAGAAACCTTTGGATCATGATAAAGTTAAGTGCCTAATCCCAAGAACAACAAGGATTTCAGAGCTGCCAGATATCCAGGAAGACTGACTCTCTGTTTTTGCTTTCTAAGTTTGGATAACATCAACTAGACAGGCAGGTTCCAGGATCTGTACGATCAAGTATCCTGCCACATATGCCCATGCGTGTTTTGAAGGATGAAATCTCCCACTGTGGAGGCTGGCATGATGGATGGGGAAGACAGTAACCTGAAGACCTCAGTTCCCACCTGCTCCTTGCAACTCTGAAGACAACTGTGCTGGGCCTCCACATCAAGTCCTCAAGGACAGAATGGCCTGGTGTCTCCCTACACAAGCCTTTGGGCTACACCCCACTGAGTTTTCCCCTCTGCACCACCGTCTCTTTGCATACTAGCACTCTCTCAGCTGTGTGTCATGGTCCCTCAACAACCAAGCTATCCTACTGTTCAGTTTCAGAGTTGTCAATAGCACCCCCTCAACCGCACTGGGAATTTTCTGCTAGCTTTTGGGAGATCATTTGCAAGAGTTCTCTCCACCTCCCCAAAGCTCCCCAAACCCTCACCCATGGGGGTTATAAACCTTCCCAGTTAATCTTCAAGATTTAGTTAACTGCACACTATTTGCAAGCAGATTAGGCTGCCTCAAAAGGCAGGCCCCGCAGATGGCTGATTTCTGCTGAAGTGAGCGGTTCTGGGTCCCTTCTGCAGCTGGAGCGGATGCGCTTCAGCGGCAGAGCACATGCTTTGCATGAAACAGGTCCCAGGTTCACTCCCCCAGCACCTCCATGTTAACGAGATCTCAAGGTATTGGAAAGACCTGGTTCTGCTGCCTGTCAGTGCAGTGTGTATAACAGACCAGTATACTTTGTGGCCCGGGTGCCGCATGATGGAGTGAGCTCCCATCTCTAGTTCCAGCTCCTGCCAACCTAGCAGTTCGAAAGCAAGAAACTGCAAGTAGATAAATAGGTACCACTTCGGTGGGAAGGTAACAGCGTTCCATGCGCCTTGGTGTTTAGTCATGCCGGCCACATGACCACGGAAACATCTTCGGACAGCGCTGGCTCTTTAGCTTGGAAACGGAGATGAGCACCGCAACCCTAGAGTCGGACTCGACTGGCTTTCGAGCAAGGGCAAACCTTTACCTTTACATACTTTGTGGAGCCCAAAACTGACACAAGAGTTACTTACCAGTGATGCTTCCTTGTCGTGACCCCAAACTTAGCAGTGCATTCGAAGCAATTCGAGCCGTCACACCACAGAGGTTCCTTGGACAGCATGTCTGAAAGAAAGTGACAAGGAACTCTGGCTCAGATCTACGTAGCTCGTGACTCATCAGGGTGAGTGCACACCAGCCACGTATTGTGACCTTCCAGATCCAAGAAGCCACATGACTGGAGATGGACCCATAGGTTGGCTAGGTAGGTCCCCAAGCAATGTTCCCTCTAAGCTGTGGAGTCTTGTGAGCAGAAATTCTCCTTTGTGAGCTGCTGGCATTAAAGTTGTGAGTGAGCGATTTGGCTACTGCATCAATTAGCTTGCTCTGGAGCCCTCCTCCCTGAGCTAAGACAGAAATGTGTGAGCTGGAGGCTAAAATTCTGTGAGCTAGCTCACACTAACTCAGCTTAGAGGGAACACTGGTCCCAAGTTGTGTATGCCTAGAGATGTCAAATTTCCAGAAATTCTGAAGCCATGGGGGGGGGACACACCCTTTTTTCCAGAAAGAAACAGAAATGGGGAGGGTGCTGAAATATATGAAGAAGAAGAGATTGGACTTATATGGAGTCTCGGAGTGGCTTACAAACTCCTTTCCCTTCCCCGCCCCACAACAGACATGCTGTGAGGTAGGTGGGACTGAGAGAGCACTTTCCAGAACTGTCCTTGAGAGAACAAGTCTGACAGAACTATGACTTGCCCAAGGTCATCCGGCAGCTGCAAATGGAGGCGTGGGGAATCAACCCCGGTTCTCCCACATTAGAATCCACGTACTTAACCACTACACCAAACTGGCTCTCAAGATGCAATATTTACTTTCCTTTCAAAACTTCTTTTACTAAATGAGCAACATAAAAGGCATCATTTATAATTCAGCATATAAAATTTTACTAGTCGGCACATTTATGGAATTTTAAATTGTAAGTATCTTCGTGGTTTTTCGTATAGAAGGAAGACCAAATATACAAGTCTACCCAATACCTGAGAACCAGCTGCAAACTGCTGTACCCAATGCTACCACACCACATGGCAAAAATTAAAGATACATCTGAGAGTAATGGAAATCTGTAAGTTTTACTCATTCTTAAAGACACAATATTTCATAGGAGTTTCAGTGCTTTCCATTACTTCCATCGGAAAAACGAAAAGGCAGCCTCCCCCCCCCCCAAGCCCTCACATCTCTATGCAGTCCTGCCCTACCTCTTCCCAGTTTGTACATCTCTCTTGAGGGATGCACAATTTTATTTATTACAAAGGCTTCATTAGTTCGTTGTTCTGGTTTGCTTTTTGTTACACCTCTATGTCAAACCCCAACAGAGTTTTAGAACCAAGTACAGGCAAAACACCCGGCAACGAAATACAATCACACAAAAACCAGGAAGACTTGGTTCATTCACTCCATACCTGTTGGCATTTCCTAGCCTAACCAAGGCCCCTGTCACACTGGCCAGATATCGCGGGGGGGAGGCGTGGCTGTTTGCCCCGGGGCAAAATAACGCACGGTTGCGTGAGCAGACGTCCCGTGGAGGTTCCGTGGAGGTCCCGTGGGTAGGGGGGAGGTGCCGATCACAGGACAATCCTGCAGCGTGGCAAAGAAGCGGCGCGGTGCAGCAAACGGGGTTTTTTTTCTGTACAAAGTATGCGCATGCTCCGTTGGGTGCTTGTGCGCATCCATGGAGACTTGGGAGGAAAAAAAACCTTTTTGCAAGGGGACATGGGCGGGTGCCGGATGCCACCGGAAACGAGATCAGACGCCCGCCCTTGCCCCGCGGTTACCGGAAATTAGTACCTCGGAGATACTAGTCTTTTACCCCACATCTTCGGCGGGAAGCCTCGGGTGAGCCACGAGGGCTCTACACTTCCCAGATGTGGCGGTGAGATCGCACCCAGAAAATCCACCTGTCTTCCGTCTCTCTAGCGTGGCTAATGTTCCGTGTGACCGCAGCCCAAGTGAGCTTTATCTCCCTGATCCCATTTTCCCATTACTTAGGAAACAAATACACATCCCTCCTCACACCTGTCCATGGACAACCAACAAGCAACAGGCCAAGTAGTACTCCTTGGAAAACAAGTCCCTGGCTGAAGCAGAAGTTGAACTCAGGACTTGCTGTGCCAAGTCCACCCTTCAGTCCATTCAACACCACATTCATCCTGTGGAAGAAGAAATTCATTCTCTACGGTCTACCACTGATACTCAAGCTCCTCTTAGCCATCTCTAGCATCCTGTGCTTTTCGGGGGAGGGCAAGTACCCCCACACACATAGTCCAAATGGATGTGGTACAGAGACCCGTAGAGCCAAAGAAGCAGGCTCAAGTTCCTAAAGCTACATTTCTCAAAGTTAGTATCAGGCCAGTCTACACTTCTAATAAGCTAGGCTAGTAGATGGGACTGTACCAGTGGGGGGCACTCCTTCCACTAGTAAAGACAAGCTCTTTCAGAACCTTCTAGCCCTGCCCTGGTAAAGAGGGGGAGGAATAACCCACACAAGGACACCCCCTTTCGCCATTAATAGACGCTCTCTTGAACTCTGGAGGACGATGGAAGACAAGAGGGCCTGGCGTGATTGGAACACTTTCCCTATGAAGAAAGGATAAAACGCTTGGGGCTCTTTAGCTTGGAGAAACGACGACTGAGGAATTAGATAAACATATGGAGCAGAGGTCCATCACTGGCTATTAGCCACAAGGTATAGATAGGAACTCTCAGTCTGGGGCAGGTGATGCTATGTATTCTTGGTGCTTTGGGGGGGGGGGCAACAGTGGGAGGGCTTCTGGTGTCCTGGCCCCACAGCTGGACCCCCTGATGGCACTGGTATTTCTGGCCACTGTGTGATACAGAGTGTTGGGACTGGATGGGCCTTTGGCCTGATCCAGCATTGGCTTCTCTTACATTCTTATGTTCTTATGTGATGTGGCCCATGGGTTCGCGAAGAGTTGGACTTGACTAACTTAAAAAAAAAAAACCCCCCCCCCCCCGAGCCGGCCTTGGCTGGGAGGGCGGGGTATAAATTAAATAATAAATAAATTTTTTTTAATGTAAGAACATCCGTATTTCTGTGCAAGGTGAAGCCTTTTGCATTGGCCCAGCCAGGAAGAGTACATTGTTGTCCTCTCCTCTCCCACATCACTTCCATTTTAACCTCACAACCAGGGGTCATTTCCTGCCGGAGCGCACAGGAGCGGAGCTCCGGCAGTAAAGAACCCAGGGGGTGGGCACATGCAACAAGCCCCACCCCCTGCTCCCAGCAGCCCTCAGTCAGAGCAAGGAGCAGCCAGGTAATCTGTAGAGCCCCCCTGGCCCAAAACAGTCCAGTGGCACCTTTAAGACCAAGTTTTGTTCAGGTACGAGCTCTCCCTCCTCTGTGAGGACAGATCGGCACGTTCCCCCCCCCCAATAGCTAGCAATCCAAAACAGTCCAGTGGAGCCTGAGCAGTGGGTGTTGCCTTCTGACACACTTCCGGTGATGTCAGGGGGTGTGGCATTTGCAAATAAGTTATGCTAATGAGTTATGCTAATGAGCTCCTGCACCTATTTTTCTACAAAATGACCCCTGCTCACAACCCCTCGTGAAGCAGGCGACTGGCCAATGGTCACCCGGTGGGCTTCATGGCAGAGAGGACTTGCATCCAGGTCTCCCTGAAGGCTGCCTGACATTCTAAACAGCAGGCTACACCAGCCCACCTTGAGAGGTTCCTCTTTAATCTGCCCATCACAGCCCAACCCCTAGCAAGCCGCAGAGCTGGGCAGATCTCCCCCTGCCATGACATTCTGTAACACTGAGCCCACCTGTGTCCCTTCCTCCTACCTTGCTTATGTCCCATTGCCAGTGCTTCTCTATGGCAGACGCTTCTTCCCCTCCCCTCCGACTTCTCTTCTACCGCAGACGCCACACATTCCCAGGAAGTCTCCCTTCCAAGCACTGCTTCGGCAGGATGTCAGCATCATACTGCCCCACCCACCCCTTACCTAGAAGCCTGAAGAGAAGCTGTTTTGTAGCAACTTGGTAGTTGAAGATATTGACTCCCTGGTTGTTGTTGACTCCAAGGCGTGCCCCGGCTCTCACAATGGCCCGGCACAAGTTGGCATTTCCCTTCATGTAGGCCAAGAGGAGCACTGCAAGGAATTTGAAAGTCTTTAGTCCTGTCCATGGACCCCTCCTTATCTGTTTAAGAGCAGGAGCATCTTGTACCCAGGGGGGGGGAAATCCTACAGCCAGTTGAACATCATAGAAAGTGTCTGCTTTTGAGTTTCAAAGACGCTTCAATCGCAGCATGCCTGAAAGCAAAAGGGTCCCAGTAGGCTTGCCAAGTCCCCCCGGGGGGCGGGAAAAACCCCACCCCAGAGGCCCGTTCCCTGCCGCCGGCGGATCAGGCCCCGGGGGGAACCCCACCCCGGTGTGCGTGTCCCCAGGAAGTGACGTTATGACGCCGGGCATGCTGGGGGCGGGGCCACAGTCATCCGAGGGAAAACTCTATGTTTTTCCCTTGGATGGTCGTGGCCCCGCCCCCAGCGTGCCCGGCGTCATAACATCACTTCCTGGTGACCTGCATATGGCGTGCAGACCAGGAGTCCCCCGGTAAAGAGATTTTCGACTTGGCAACCCTAGGTCCCAGTGAGCCATTATTCCTTGCTTCCCGGAGCATCTTCAGGCTCATTCACAAGAAATGCTTACAGGGCTACACATTTCCCTATATTTACATAGCATTACACCAACCGTTATTTAATGCTTAGCAGCCCGGTCTCATGCAGGCATAGTCAGAAGCAAGCTCCGCTGAGTTCAACATGGCTGACTCTCAGAAAGTACGTCTAAAAGGGCAGCCTAAAAATACTGGAACATGGCACGTCCAAGGGAGCAGCCAGAAGAGACAGTCACCTGCCCACCCACGGCACCGCTAGCCCATTGGGGGCTGCAACCCATTGCACTGGCTGAGCTCAGGGGTGCAGATGACTGGGCAGGATGAGGATTTGGCACGCCTGAAGAGGAGAGAGAGCACTCATCTGACCAGCGTCTGAGATGGCCGAACAAAGCTACCTTGCCCAGGTCCCAGTTGCTCAGTGCCACCTGCTCTGACCTACAGTGGCCCTTCAGGGTCTCAAGTGAGAAAGGGTTTTGCCCCCAACATGTGCAACTAGAGAGGGAAGGAACTGGTTGTGGGACCTTCAGAAGGCAAAGCAGGAGGCTTCACCACTGAGCAAGGCTAGCCTAGCTTCAGGAGAGCCCTCTCCCTCAAGATCCTCTTTTCTACACTTATAAAGGGAAAATACACAGAATCAAGACTTTAAACTTAAGAGGAGGAATCAGAAAATCAAGGAAAAGTTGATCTCTACAAAAATTCTGGGAAAAATATAAGGCAACTCCCTCTGTTTCAGGACTACATCACTTATATATTGAGGGAGTCCCAGACACTTTTGAGGGAGTAAGACCCCAATATACTTGTATTCAGAAGAGTTATACACTTTACAACTTAATTCAAGATTCAATAGCATGTTTAGGGAACTTTTATATCAGTAGAAGAAAATATTTGCAAACTCTGTATAATCAATTTATGGTGGGAAAATGAGATAGATTTAATGACTGTATGAGGTACTGTAATAGAGAAAAGATCAATGTGCATTACTGTATCCCCAATTATGGAGCTGCAGTGGCTCAAGTGGTTAAGACGCTGAACTGCAGGCTGTGGAAGGTCAGTAGTTCAGCAGTTCGAGACCCGAGTTGCCGCATGACGGAGTGAGCTCCCGTCTCTAGTTCCAGCTCCTGCCAACCTAGCAGTTCGAAAGCAAGAAATTGCAAGTAGATAAATAGGTACCACTTCGGTGGGAAGGTAACAGCGTTCCGTGCGCCTTGGTCTTTAGTCATGCCGGCCACATGACCACGGAAACGTCTTCGGACAGCGCTGGCTCTTTGGCTTTGAAACGGAGATGAGCACCGCAACCCTAGAGTCGGATTCGACTGGCTTTCGAGCAAGGGAACCTTTACCTTTACCTTTTATCCCCAATGATATGTTTGCTCATTTTGGAAAAATAAAAATGTTATGTTAAAAAAAAAAGATCCTCTGTTCTTGTCCATGTTGCATGATGACCCTGTCAGATTCAGTTCACACAACCAGGCAGAAAGCAAGCCCCAGTGAGGTCATGCACATCAACAGGCCGACATCAAGAGACCAACGGATGTGCTCATCTTTCTTAAAGGGTCCCTCAGAGCTGTTCTTCTGCCCTCTGCAAATCCGGTTTCTTTCGTTAAGGGGGCGGCTGCAGCATGGCTACTGTTTTCCTGGTATACTATAATGTGGCCTGTTTGGAGATTATTACACCTCTACTGGACAAGATTGCTGGCCGCACAAATAAAGCCAGGCCTGGATACCTTCTATCTGACATGAATCCTAAGATTACTTACCGAGTTGCTAGATTCTGTGTGTTGATCCTGAGGCTCAAATTTGAATTCTGCTTATATTTTGTATTTTGTTTTTATATACAGGAATGTTTTTATTATAATTTTCATGTATACAGATGGTCTAATGACTGCAATAAATATATACATACATACATTTCCTGGTAGAGTACGTGTGCTCCTGTGCTGTCTCTGTCGCTCAGCGGGAGAGCAGGGGAATGCAGAAGATACCAGGCTTAATCCTCGGCATCGCCACAGTTAAAGGATCTCGGGGGTTGCAAAAGATGTTGTGGAGAGCACTTATGTTGCACTGAATGTTTTTAAAATGCAGTTTTAATGTTTTATGTATTGGGCAGTGGCCCCATCTGTACGCCGCCCTGAGCCCGTTCGCAGGGAGGGCGGGTTATAAATTTAAATAAAATAAATAAATAAATCTCTCTGTGCATCTGCTGGTCAGCAGACAAGATTGAGCTAATTAGACCAGTGATCCGATCAACAGTATAAATAAAGCACTCTGTACCTCCAGTCTGCGTACAATTAGGGACGAGGTCTTTTTAGTTGAAATGATTTATGGGCCACCCGTCAACAGTCAGACTCCCCAAGCATCTTACCTGTGTTTCCTTCGGCATCTGGTTTGTCAAGAGGGTACTCCGACATGCATTCCAAAAAGAGGTCAAAGATGGCCGCTGCGTTGTCTTTCCCATATTGCCCCAGGATGTGCATCGGGGACTGGCCTCTGGCAACAAAGACATTGAGCACATTACAGAGATCCGCACCGCACCTCTGGCTCAAGCCTACTACCTTTGACACAACAGGCACCTTTCAAGGAGACCGCGCTGAAGCAAGGGGCTGCTTTCTAAAGGCATTGCAAACCATTCCCAATGGCGCCTTCTGCCAGCATACAGGAATTTATAACGCTGCAAAGCAGCCATCATCAGCAGGGAACAAGTCATTATTGCCACCAACCAGGGCTATTTTTGGGCAGGAACGCTCAGGAACGGAGTTCCGGCTGGCTCCTGAGTTGGCCACGCCCAGCAGGAACTCATTAGCATAATAGGCCACACCCAACAGCAGAAACTCATTAGGATTGGCTACATTAGGGGTGTGTGGCCTAACATGCAAATGAGTTCCTGCTACAAAAAAAGGCCCTGGGTGTTGACAACAAGGTAAACAAAATAACAAGCAAAAGGTGGGTGTGGCTGGATAACCACACTTCTGGTAACATGTGGGTGCGGCCTAATGTGCTAATGAGCTGTGTTGTCAGGGGTGTGGCCCAATATGCTAATGAGTTCCTGCTGTTGGGTGTGGCCTATTATGCTAATGAGTTCCTGCTGGGCTTTTTCTACAAAAAGAGCCCTGCCACCAACAAAGGGCATATCCAGCACTGTTAGCATGCCAGATATCTAGTTCTCACTGAGACAAGGAAGCCTATGTATGAGCCAGTCCACAGATTGTAACAAGGGGCGTGGATTCACACGACTGAAGACATCCATCCATTAAAGAGCTTCCTGCACACATTAACCAGCATTCCAGCAAGAATTAATTTCAAATATCCTCCCTGATGTCCTAATTCTCCGAAAGCATGGAACATTTTTCAAAGGGGCCTTTTTAGTGCGGAAACCACCATTTCGTAACCTTAGCCCTGATAGAAAGAAGCCTCAGCATTCACCAACGGTACAAGTCCAACTTATATCACGGTTCACATAGTGAATGCTGTCAGCCAGCATCTCAGAGTGGATTTGGGAACCCAGGGGAGGAAAAGAAAAACACAAAGATCTATAGAAACGGGCGGGTTCTTTCCTGGAGAAAGAATGTGGTGAAGTTTACCTGACATTAAAGGCTTCTGCATCCACGGTGCATTCTGTCAGGAGGACACGGATGTTGTTCAGACGCCCCTGCATCACTGCCAGATGGAGGGCTGTGTTTAAAGGTACAAAAGAGAGATTCGCCATTCAACCATCAGAAAGTCAAGCACAAATCTGTACACGCTTCTCCGCACAGAGACACACAAGTTCCATGCCAGTTAAATCCTAAGGCTGCATTTAAATGATGCAAGGAACAACCCAGTGAGCCAGTGCGGTTTAGCAGTTAACAGTGTCCGCCCAGGCTCCAGGAGACCTAGGTTCTATTCTCTGTTCTGCCGTGAAAGCTTGCTGGGTGATCTTGGGCCAATCACATACTCTCAGCCTAACCTACCTCACAGGATTGTTGTGAGGATAAAATGGAGAACCGAATAATGTAAGACACTTTGGGTCTCCATTGGAGAGAACACTGAAGTATAAATGAAGTCAATAAATAAAAAGAGGACTGAGGGGCGTGGCATGTGTACTGTGCAGAATAGTGTATTTTGATTGGCTGATGACTGAGAGTGTGGGAGATGTTCTGAGAGGAATCTGTGTGTGCGTTTTTATGGAAGATTCTGTGTGTGAAGTTTAAAGAGAGAACATAGCCTGTGTGACTATGGGATTTTGAGACTATTTTTGTGTGAATAAGACCAACAGTTTAGTCTGTGTGACTAAGAGAGTTGATTGTATTCTGTGTGAATAAAGCAAAGAGACTAGCCTGTGTGGCTATATATATGAGAGAGTGTATAAGCCTGTCAGAGTGGAGTTTGAGAGACTGTTTGTGGCACCAAGCTTTGCCAGTTATACTTACAAGTTCCTTTCTTCAGCAACTGTTCAAAATAACCAGAAACCTATTTTGTTCTTTATTAAATAATTCATTTTTTGTTTAAACTTATCCCAGAAATCAGTACAGTACTTCCTCAGGGCCACATAGTCCTCTGAAGTGCCCAGACCCTAGGTCATGCTACCAAAACAGAGAGTTGGAATTTTTAATTCCTAGTGGCAGCAGAAAACTACCAAGTTTATATACACAAAGAGTGTTTAAAGGTGAACCGTTTCCCCTATAATCAAGCACGCCACACTTCTCTTTTCACAACACCGCAAAAGTACAGTGGTCTGTCTCCACATCATCCACAAAGAACTCCCAGTTCCCACTTTGGTCATCTGTCACCTCAGCTACAACCACATCACCTCAGCTACAACCACATCTCCTCCCTGCTCTTCCTGTCTGCTATCACACCTCAGCCCCCTCACCTCTACCCATCACATAATCATTCCTTTCTCCTTGCTCGGACTACGTAATGCACCCTCTCTTTTGTGTTCCCCCGGATTCAACACAAACTATAAACCCTCCCAGGAGCCTGCTTTCCTTTCTACTCTCATCTCCCCAGCCAGTGATCTTAGCGTCTCCAACCCATCCATCCAAAGGTCTCTTGTTCCAGCACACAGCCCTGTGCTTTCTTCCTTGCTGCCCGTTACACCTGGAACTGCTTCCCAGACCAGCTGCACGCTGTCCTTCAAATACCTGAAGCTGCTGGCACCGTCCCCTTTTACCCCCCCCTCCCCTGCTGACCAAAGCCAAAATATCTGAAACTGGAATGAATGCAGATTCTCTCCCTGTTTTGTCCCCCTCCCTCCTCCATCTGAAGTTTTAGAATGCAAGCTCTTTTGGGGGTGGGGAGAACTGGTCCTCTTGTATTCTGTAAAATACCATACCACCACCAACCCTTGCAAAGGCATATTTGGTTGCAGAACTAATGTAGAGTAACATTACTGCCAGAGGAGGTGGTAACGACTACAAGCATGGAGAGCTTCAAGAGGGAATTAGATAAGCATATGGAGCAGAAGTCCATCAGTGGCTATTAGCCACAAGGTATAGGTAGGAACTCTCAGGCTGGGGCAAGTGATGCACTGTTTTCTTGGTGCTTGGGAGGGGGGCAACAGTGGGAGGGCTCCTAGTGTCCTGGCCCCACTGCTGGACCTCCTGATGGCACCTGGCACTTTTGGCCACTGTGTGACAGAGTGTTGGACTGGATGGGCCATTGGCCTGATCCAACATTGGCTTCTCTTATGTTCTTAACAGGATGTTTTCCCCAGCCCAGGAGGCATGAATGAGCAGGAAGGTAGCAAATCTGAAATGACGACTTGCAAGGATCTTTTGCGAGCCGGTGCAAGGGGAGAGGAGGACAAGCTCGCCTCGGGGGAGTTACCGTTGTTCCCATTTTCGTCCACTGCCGCAAAGTCGACTCCATTCTCCAGAAGGACTGAACAAATCGTGGGAAGGTCTTGCTGGGCGGCAAGATGGAGGGCTGTCTGCCGGTGCTTGTTCAGCTCGTTGACCTTGGCCCCAGCGAGCAGCTGTCAGCAGAAAGGAGGAGAGTTCAGGGAAAGGTCTGCTTTAGCAACAGGGAAACATGTTGGAAGAGCACGAGCAGCCCATTACTGTTCACAATTACTGTAAAGCCTCGTCCCAAGCATTTATGGAATTCTTTTGATGCAAGATTTAAAGAGACCTCTAACCTACCAATCCATTTGGAACAAAGAGTGTAGTCTTGAATTACCAGATGCTATTTGGTCCTCCATTTGGGCCACCTCTCCTTTCCGCTCCAAAATTATTGATGTGCGTTTGAACTCAGATAAATTAATTTCACGCTGGTATCTCACCCCTAAAAAATTGGCTCACACTTCCAAAACACTTAACCCAAAATGCTGGAAAAATTGCAGGGATATAGGAAGTTACCTTCATTGTTGGATCTCCTGCCCTAAGATTACCCCTTTTTGGGAAGCTGTACTGATACAGGTTAAATCCATTATAAATCTAGATTTTACTCTTATGCCAGAACATTTACTCTTGGGAGACTGGGAATCTTTGACATGCTCATACTCACTTAAAGAAAGGGTGTCTTTATTACTTTACACAGCAAGAAATACTATTGCACTAACCTGGAAATCATCACAATCTCCTACAATCTCACAGTGGCATCAAAAATTATGGAAATTATACATCATGGCGAAGCTCACAGATAATCTGGATAACATGCTTAGGCCCTCTAGACAGTCCTATATTTCCTCTATATGGTTACCTATACTTGAATGTTTGTTGTCTCAAGGGGAAATTCCTCAATTAGTGGTTGATCTTGGATTATAACAATCTTTCTGGTTTACATATTGATTGCATAGGTAAAGGTAAAGGTTCCCTTGCTCGAAAGCCAGTCGAATCCGACTCTAGGGTTGCGGTGCTCATCTCCGTTTCAAAGTCGAAGAGCCAGCGCTGTCCGAAGACATTTCCGTGGTCATGTGGCCAGCATGACTAAACACCAAGGCGCACGGAACGCTGTTACCTTCCCACCGAAGTGGTCCCTATTTATCTACTTGCAATTTCTTGCTTTCGAACTGCTAGGTTGGCAGGAGCTGGAACTAGAGATGGGAGCTCACTCCATCATGCGGCACACTCAGGTCTCGAACTGCTGAACTACTGACCTTCCACAGCCTGCAGTTCAGCGTCTTAACCACTTGAGCCACCGCAGCTCCAATTGATTGCATAGTTATGTTTTAATTATAGATCAGATAGAATGGTTACTGTTCGCCTACTCAGAGAAATGTTGAGGTTTATATTCTGCTTTACAAAGTGCACAGATATTCTTCTATTTTAACATACTTCACCCGTATTGTTACTTGTTCTTTGTTAATTATTAATAAAACGTTAATTACAAAACCCCCACAATTACTGTAAACCCCTCTCTGCATGGGAAGTTCTCAGGACTGATGCAAAATGCTGCAGCAAGTTTCTCAATGGGGCAGGCTGCTGCCAGCGGGTCACCCTCACATCGCAATACCTGCCCTTGCATTCGAGCACAATTTGAACTGCTGGTTTTGACCTAGAAAGCCCTGAACTATATTGGGTACGAGGGTCTGACGGGCTGCTTTCTCTCATATGAAACTTCTCGTTTCAGGGATCTTCCTCTGGAAGCCCTTTCCTGGGTCCCTCCCCACAAGCAGTAACCAGTTTCATCACCCCAAGCAAGGGACGCCTGTTAAGAAAAGCAGAAGAGCCCTGCTGGATCAGACCAGTGGCTCATCTGGTCCAGCATCCCGTCTCACTCAGTGGCCAACCAGTGCCCCTGGAGGTCCAACAACAGGGCATAGAGACCGAAGCCTGCTGCCCTCTCCTGTGGAAGATGAGAACAAACCAATCCCCCATAGTGCAGGAAAAGATGCAAGGGCTTGGGCTTGGATGCACCTAACAGCAGCCTGGGGTTAGGTTGGGAGCCATGGTCTACTGCCCCTCCTTCAACACTGGTGGCCAAAAGTACCTGGACCCAGCCGCTGTGTCGGTGGCTTGGAAAGAGAACCATCTCTTGTTTCTAGAACACCCTGGCCTATGAGGTTCAGCTGGCACCTTTGACTCCTGACATTTAGACACCAGGCAAAGACCTTTTTTGTTCCAATGGTTCTTTGGTTAAGTTTTGACTGCTATCATTTAGTATCTACTGCTGATCTGGTTGTCCCCTGGGAATAAGGTTTAATTAGATGTGTTAAGAAATTCTGCTTTGACTTTTTAGTTACTTATTAGCCTGCTTTTGAGCAAATCATATTTTGGAAGAGTGGGATAGCAACAAGAGAAAACCTATGTAATAAAGTAATTGTTATTACAACCCCTCTGCAAGAAGAACCCATATCAAAAGCAGGCCTTCTAAGAGACGGCTGCCCAAAATAATGCAGAGATTCACACAAGACTTGCAAGCTTGTAAGATGAATGTGTGAACCCACATTTCAGGAACTATGAAATTGTTATAGTTCACCTTTCTTGCTGGGAATCAAGGTGGACTACATAGACTAAGTCAATACTATCAACAAGGTGGGCCATCCAATAGACAGTGTAAAAAGAGTTGGCTTTTAGAAATCTGGAACCAATCTGAGGCAGAGGTGAAGCAAAGCTTAAGTATTAACATGACACATTAAATAATGCAAAGATTACACAGTAGGAACAATAATAATTATTTCATGGCAGTGTGTGTAGCATAGCCAGGAGATCCTACGATTGTCTGGCATCCATAAGTTCTAGCTCTTTCAGCGTTATGCAACACTAGGTGGCGAGCGAGACTCGTTTTTACACTTGATCTTAGCCATTAGGCCGAGAAGCGATGAGAGACTCGTTTTTAAGGCAAGAGAGATTTCAGAGGTGGTTTGACATTTCCTGCCTCTGCGTCACACCCCTGGTATTCCTTGGAGGTCGCCCATCCAAATACTAGCCAGGGCTGACCCTGCTTAGCTTCCGAGTTGTGATGAGATCACGCTAGCCTGGGCTATGCAGTGGTATAGTCTACAGTCTCTAACCCTCTACACCAAGATTATTTCTTTTTAATTTTTTTTTTATTTTCCTTATATATAGAACATATAAACATTAAATCTAAACTATAACTAAATACAATATACTATAAACTAGGTGGTCACTGTGAATAGCATTAAACAAAATGAGAAATGAGAAATAGACAATATTTTCTTTTGCAGCACAGATAGATTTCATAGGCAGGTAAGTATTTCTTTATATTTTGCAGGTATTTTGCATCGAAGAGGAGAACTTTCGTCGTGTACATAGTCCAAGAAAGGCAACCATTTAATCAGTATGTTCGTGGAAAGTTCTTTTCCTTCAATTCTTTGTATGGTATCCGATATTTTGTCCATGGTTAGTAATTCCCATAGTTTAGTAAACCAATGATCAGTGGATATTGGGTTGGAGTCTTTCCAGCTAAACGCTATTACTGTCTTGGCAGCTGAAAGCATGGTGGAAATCAATTCTTGTTGAGTTTTAGGAATCCTAGTATCTATCCATAAGTCAAGTAAAATTTGCTTTGGGGTTTTTTCAATCTCATACCCTGTTATTTTCTTTATATACCAAAGTATTTTCCCCAAAAATTCTTTAATTATAACACATTTCTGACCCATTTTGTTAATGAATGTCTGCCTGTTGAGTGATTGGCACTTGTTCAAGCTGAATGTGAACCCCAGCAGAAACCATTCACCCAGTCTTTCTTCTCCAGCAATGAATGTTACAGAGTTATGGCTCCTCCCCAGCACATACCAGATTGCGCACAATGATCTCCGAGCCGGCTTGCACAGCGAGATGTAATGGCGTGAGCTTGGAGGCATCCTGGACCCGGGAGTTCACATTTGCTTGGACGCTGATCAGGAACAGAACACTCTCAATGTCGGAATTCTGAACGGCCACGTGGAGGAAATTCCGTCCTTTGTTGTCCATCTGAAGCAGGGGCCGAACAAACAAAAGTGAGCAAAAAATATCCTTCCGTAGCGGGTTTCCAAACACCCTGCCCAAAACCCAACATCTATATTCTTTTTTTTTTTTTTTTTCAACATCTATATTCTTAACGCCAACTCCGGAGGAGTACTTTGTAAGCAGCAAAGAGACAAGACAGTGCTCCCTTGCTGAAGGCTGTGCGGCCAAAGTGTGTTGAGGCAAGAAGCCCCATGATATGCATCATTAGCTAGAGCACACATACAAAAACCAGAAAGACAGCCATCTCCACAGTTCAAGTGTACCGGCATTTACCACTTTACATCGGGATGTCACCTTTGCCGCAGGCACTAACTGGCATCTCTTGCTTTTTTTTTTTTTACCCTGCTCCCCTACCCAAAACCAGACACTCAAGGCAGCCAAATAACCCACTATCCAATTAAAATAGTAAAGCAGACAGCAAACCTGCCAATATCTCTCAAAACGTAACAGCAGGTTAGATTTCGAAAACCAGGCAGCGGCTGGATAAAGACGTCTATCAAATACATTTTTATCCCACTTTTCTTTCAAGGAGCAAACGGGCAGCCTCCACGGTTCAACCTTCCCTCTTTAATCCTCATAAGGACCCCATTAGGTAGGTGAGGCTGGGGGAAAGTGACCGGCCCAAGGTCTTCCGGCACAGTGTAGATATGCACCCGACTCTCCTAGTCCATAAGCACAAACAAGAAGCCCAAAATCTGACTGTGCTAGAAAAGATGCAAACAACCAGAACTGGGGAAGTCGCTAACAATGGAAGTCCAATACAGAAATAGCTATATTAATTTATAATAAGTCAAAACAAAAACAGTACATATAACAGAAGTAGTACATATAACAATAAATATAGAACAAAAATACATCAAAAGCAACTAACCAGTAATCTAAGACAACAAAGACCCCGGGCTGAGGCATTTTGGAGCTTTAAGCGGATAAAAAACTTTTTTGCCCATTAATGAATTAGAGTTCTACCTAGTTGGGAGTGAAAATCTCTTAAATAAATGGAACTCAAGGATTTATTCCTAGTATAAATCAGACTGAGATATAAGGATCATCATATTTGTGTGATTACCAAAAAAGAACAGACTACAATTGTATTTTGCATTAAAGAATACTTCTGAGGAAGGTCCATGCATGAAACGAAGTTCAGCCCGGGGTCTTCGTTAGTAGTCGTCTTAGATTACTTGTTAGTCGCTTGGCTGTCAGTTGCTTTTGATGTATTTTTGTTCTATATTTACTGTTATATGTACTGCTTCTGTTATATGTACTGTTTTTGTTTTGACTTATTATAATATAGCCAGGGGTCATTTGCTGCAGGAGCACACAGGAGCGGAGCTCCGGCAGTAAAGAGCCCAGGGGGCGGGCACATGCAACAAGCCCCACCCCCTGCTCCCAGCAGCCCTCAGTCAGAGCAAGAAGCAGCCAGGTAAGTCGCAGATCTCCCCCTGGTCCCCCGGTCCAAAACAGTCCAGTGGCACCTTTAAGACCAAGGTTTATTCAGGTACAAGCTCTCCCTCCTCTGCCAGGACAGATCTGCACGTTTCCCCCCCCCCCCAATAGCTAGCAATCCAAAACAGTCCAGTGGAGCCTTAGTGGTGGGTGTTGCCTTCTGACACACTTCTGGTGATGTCAGGGGGTGTGGCATATGCAAATATGTTATGCTAATTAGTTATGCTAATGAGCTCCTGCACCTCTTTTTCTACGAAATGACCCCTGAATATAGCTATTACTGTATTAGACTTTCATTGTTAGCGACTTCCCCAGTTTGTTCTGGTTGTTTGCATTTTGACTCACTGGGAGGTCTTTCTTGTTGATTTGTGCTAGAAAAGAAGAACTTTGACCTGCCAGCGAAGCAGTTGGAGGCAAATGGACCTCCCAGAAGAACCCAAGGAGGGGGTTCTACCATATGAAAAGGCCCTTCTCTTCTTCCCTCCAAAAGCAATGGGACACAGAGCAGGGCCACTGCTGATAATCAAAGTACGCAGGCAGGTTTATTTGGGAGAAGACTTTCCTTAAGAGCTCCAGGCAGCCAAGCTTTTAAGCCTCTACAGCAGGGGTGTCAAACATGCGGCCCGGGGGCCGAAGCAGGCCCCCGGAGGACTTCTATCAGGCCCACAGTGGAACGGGCTGTCTTCTGCTTCTGCTTCTTCCAGTTCTGCTGCTGCTGCGTCATCGTAGGTTTGCAGCTTACAGAGACAAACCTGGACAGCATACTCAAGATCGCAACAGCACAGGCATTTTGATGCAATAATTCAGAGCAAGAGGTGTCAGTTATCAGACACTGTTAAATAAACAAAATATTGCAAGAGTGCTAATGTTTTAAGTGTGTTTTTATTTTAAGTAAAAAAAAAACCTTTGTGTTTGTGTCCTTTATAATGTTCATATCTCCGCTACCTGGCATTACATTTTATGACACACCCGGCCCGGCCCAACAAGGTCTCATTTATGTCAGATCTGTCATAACAAATTAGTTTGGCACCCCTGATCTACAGGTTAGAACTAGCACTCGGAATTGGAACCAGAAATTGTGGAAGCCAATGAAGGATGATATAATGCAATTTACTGGTATTATTTTTGAACCAGTTGAAGTGTCTTTTCTTTTTTAAATAAGTTTTTATTGTTTTTGTTAATAACATTAACATTACATACATCAAATACTTTTTGATTCTAAATTAATAAGGACAATTCCATACACCCTTAACATCTCTTCTCGCCATACAGCACTAGTAAGTACTATGAGTCTGACCAGTATAGATTACCTGCTATAGCCTATAAATATAACCATTTATGATAGATCTGCTTAGCAGGAAGAATATCCTTCATTACCATGTAGTCTAACACAGGGGCCCAAGTCCTAACAAATTTGGTGTAGGTTGGCGCATTACTGTTATTCGCTCTCATCAGGGAGTCTGTAATTTTTGCCATTATAAACTGATCCCAAATTTTCTCTTGCCATGTTGAAATTGTAGGAAGATAAGGAGATTTCCAAGCCGCTGCTATTGTTAACCTGGCTGCAGCTAATAATGTTGCTTGAAGGCAGTCCCATATAAAGCACACGACAGGAAGCGAACCTGGTCTCTCAAGGATCTGATGGGGGACTGCATCTTATCTTACATTCACATCCACATGCGGGCATTAAGCAAACACAAATCCATCACAGTCAATAAAATCCTGTGTTTCTTCAAACAAGAATCTACAAACTCCAACTGCTAACATTCAAAAGGCAGAGGAGACACGTCCGAATATAGATTCCCCGTTCACTGGCATGTTTAAGAGCAACCTCCCGTGGGACCCTCCCATGATACCCATGGGGATCATCCAGTTGCATCACACGAAGATGATCCATCAAAAGGACCCATAATGCCTCACAGCCTGTGGCTGGGGGGCATTTGCATCTCACCATACCTGCTCAGCGGCTCCTGGCTCCCGCTTCAGGATTGCTTCTGCTGCCTTGTTATTTTTGTAAGTCATCGCACACGCAAAAGGGGTCATGCCCTGCCGGTCACGTAGGTTGAGATGGATATCAGGGTGAGAGATCAGCAGCTGGATAATGACGGCGTGCTGATTAATAATAGCGACGTGGATGGGTGTTCTTCCTTCTGCATCCTACAAAGGGGAGGGTGAGTAAATGCGGTTAACGATACAGCGTTAAGTGCAGCCATGTGTAGATGCTGCCACAGAGAAACCTGTCAGCCTAAGAATGGCCAGTACGAGGTAATGGATGTTATGGAATTAACCCATAAGGCCACAATTTGACACGGACTCCTCGTAGGGATCCAAACAAGTCAATTTATTTCCAGAGATCTACTAGAGGCGGCTTACAACTACCAGAACAAAACAAAACCATTAAAAAAAAAAACCAAAGCCATCCAGGGAAGTCCAGTCTCATCAGATCTCAGAAGCTAAGCAGGGTCGACTCCAGGAAGAACCTGGAAAGGAAACCTCCAAGGAATACCAGGGCTGGGACACAGAGGCAGATAACAGTAAGACACCTCTCTGAAATGTCCAGGCCCCACTAGGGGTTGCCAGAAGTCAACCACAATTTCCAGGCATACACACACACACACAAAATACTCATTAAAAAAACCTCCACAAAAACCCACAATGCCATTATAGAAACCTCTACAAACAGCCCAATGCCCTTAGAACAAGAAAAGGACACGACAGTACAAAATACACACAGAGCTGCCTGAAATAATAATAATATACTTTATTGTCACTGTACATAGTACAACGAAATTAAGATGCAATCATTCGGTGATCTACAACCATACTCATATACACTCACACAACCATTCACAACCATCCCACAACTCCCTTAAGGTTCACATTGCAACTTAAACCACCAATGTCACCCAAATTCCAATTCATACAGCATTTAAAGCAATAATAGCTCTCGAATAAAAACTGTTTTTTAATCTGTTTGTCCTTGTTTTAATTGTCCTATTGAAATGAGGTAGATAATGATTCTTGGGCCAGACGAAACCATGGAACAGGATGGAAGAGATAAAACCCGTGAACACCTGGGTAAAAAGGAATACTTTAGCCTGTCACCTAAAAGCAAGCAAGGTAGGCGGCTACGTGAGCCCCCTGGGGCGGTGGGAAGAGCCTATTGCAGGCACAGAGGAAGATAGCAAGGGGCCTGCCGGGAGGTGAAGACCCAGAACGTGTTCCCCCTCCTGTACCTGTGCGTTGACATTGGCGCCAAACTCTAGAAGGCACTGCACCACCTCTTCGAGGCCCCAAGAAGCTGCCAAGTGCAAAGGCGACTGTCCATCGTGGGCCTCCTCGTCCCCCTCTCCATTGGCACCTGGCTGCCTTGGGCTGTTGACGTCGCAGCCACTAGGGAGAAAGTGGCACGTCAGTCTAGCCCCCCCAGGCTACATTTGCACTTTGAGAAACCCCAGCCAAGACGGTACCGGTCTTCCCAATACAATCATGCAGAGAAGGAGCTTGCCAGATGATTGGTCGACAGGAGCCAAAGAGAAGCTGCGCTTCCTGGCCAGCATCAGCCTTTGGAAATCTGGCTTCAGACGACCGCACGGACAGTCCAGCTCCTCAAACAGGCCTGTGTCTAACCTGCGGATCAGGAAGCAGGAGATCTGTTCGTCGTTCTCGTCGACGGCTCTGTGAAGGAGGGTCTGTAAACATCCGCCTGGCCCTGGACCCCAGCAAGTTGCGTCACAACCGTGTCTCACCTGCAGGCAGAGATGCAGAAAGATTCAGAAGGAAAAGTTCTGCTCATTAATAGCTAGCGGACATCTGAGCAGGGGTAAAGTGATCTGTAGGGCTGCAGTGGCTCAAGTGGTCAAGACGCCGAACTGCAGACCGGAAGGAGTGAGCTCCCGTCTCTGGTCCCAGCTCCTGACCAACCTAGCAATTTGAAAGCAAGAAATTGCAAGTGGGTAAATAGGTACCGCTTCGGTGGGAAGGTAACAGCATTCCGTGCGCCTCGGCATCTAGTTGTGCTGGCCACATGACCACAGAAATGTCTTTGGACGGCGCTGGCTCTTCGGCTTGGAAACGGAGATGAGCACCGCAACCCTAGAGTCGGATTCGACTGGCTTTCGAGCAAGGGGAACCTACACCTTTACTAAAGTGATCTGTGGACACAAGGGATCACAGATCTTTCCCTTGTTCTCCCTCCCTCAGCAGTCCTTTCTGACCACAGCAATGCAGATTCCCAGAGTCACAGACCTTAACATGTACTAAAAGACCTCTTGATGGGAAGACGTCACTGAGAAGCTGGGGGGGGGGGGCGGCCAAGCCACCTTCCTACCAGTGGCTATTAATCACTGTGGGCCCCACAACTCTGGGAATCAACTTCCCCGGGGGTCAGAAAAGTCTGCAGGACTGGAGGAAAGATTGGGGGGGGGGGGAGATTCGGCACCCATCAGAAACTTGTAGTGAGGTTGCTGGATCCAAACCCACCGATGCCGTGGAATTTTTCATAGTTCTTGTCCACTTTGAAAGTTCAGGTAAAGGGAGAAGGAAGTAACTGGTGACCAGTGTTCCCTCTAAGCTGAGTTAGCGTGAGCTAGCTCACAGTTTTTTAGCCTCCAGCTCACAGATTTCTGTCTTCGCTCAGGAAGGATGGCTCCAGAACAAACTAATTTATGCAGTAGCCAAATCGCTTGCTCACAACTTCAAAGCTGGTAACTCACAAAGTATAATTTTTGCTCACAAGACTCCATAGCTTAAAGGGAGCATTGCTGGTGACACAGTTATTAAAAAGCAGCACACATTATGAAAAATGTTCATCGTGCACTGTGACCCAGCAGCAGTCTTAATTTTTTTTTTCTTAAACAGAGAAGATAGCACAAGATCAGCCACCCGGCCTTACCAGCGTCGAGGCGATATCTTCCAGGTTGTTCTCCAGAGCAAGCCAGAGCGGGGGGTTGCCTTTGTCATCGGGCACGGACATGTCTGCCCCCCGCGTGCAGATTGCGTCGACCACAAGCGGCAGCTGGTTCTTGATGCCCAGCTGGAGGGCCGTCTCTCCATCCTGCGTCCTGCAAGAAGGGCCCATTGCTGTACACGGAACCAGCCACTGCTGGGGCGTCATCGTCAGCCGTAACGTCAATAATAAAATGACCCCTTGACATCATGCTGAGGAGCCCTTCTCCATTTTAGGCTCACGACAACAGAGTGAGGTAGGTTAGGCTGTGTGTGACGGGCTCAAGGTCACCCCGCAAGCCTCCGAGGCTACTCAAGTGGAACATCCACACAACTGGGTGCAGGACAAGAATAAGCATTCCAGCGACAGCATCACTGACACATCGATGCTTGTAAATCCAGTGTCACAGGAAACTGTGCAAAATGCGCTCGTAATGCATAACATATAATGTGTAACAGTATAAAGTAAATATAAAGGTACAATAATGTATAATCATAATTCTTTCTAGGTGAACGGGTGGGAAAGGAAGTCCTCAACAGAACAGGACGACGAAATTCTCCGGAGTAAACTCCCGTTTCGTAGAAAACGTCTTCTGAAAGTCAAAAAATGTCTCTCATGTATCCATAGATTGCAATCTTTTTCAGCAGGATAATATACAAAATCCTAATCCATAACGAATGGTATCTTTTGCAGAAATTCTTACAAAGATGGGCAAATGCCTTATCCTGTTGAAAAGACTGCAATCTATGGATACATGAGAGACATTTTTTTGACTTTCAGAAGACATTTTCTACGAAACGGGAGTTTACACCGGAGAATTTCGTCATCTTTGTTCTGTTGAGGACTTCCTTTCCATCCGTTCACCTAGAAAGAATTATGATTATACATTATTGTACCTTTATATTTACTTTATACTGTTACACATTATATGTTATGCATTACGAGTGCATTTTGCACAGTTTCCTTTGGGTCTTTGCTAGTTTTCGTGGCTGTGACCCGTTTGGTTTTTCATTGTAAATCCAGTGTCTGCAACAAGCTGGGACCCACGAGGAATCATTGGGGGGCCTCGAAATACCTTAAAATAGCATCCTTCAGGATTCTCTGGAGGAGTATAGCAGGCTCATCCCTGTCTACACACACCGCTTTTGGGGCCTTTAACTCATCATCATCTGTTGTCAAACTTTCCATGCTCCTAGAGCCTATTGAGTCCCCATCAGGTATCTGAGGATTCTTCCCCTCCTACCCTCTGTGCTCTTTAGGTGTATTTAGGAAGCCATATCTGTGGAGGTTCCCAAGTAGTTAGAGGCTTGTCTGTGGCCTGGTCTTGCAGCTGTCATCAACTGCCCAGTGGCCAGTTAACTGCTAGATACAGTGCTGGTTTAACAATACACCCATTCAAAAGAAAACTATTATGTATTGGCTTTGGGGCAAGCAGGGATGGAGGTACCTGCAAACGTTCCTTCAAATCTCCAACCACTGGCTGGGCATCGGCTCCCCACTGAACACCGAAATCTCCCGGCTACTACCAAATCATAGAATGGTGGGCATCGCACAGTCTTGTGTATTTCCCATTATTGTCCTACAGATTCAGGGCGCTGCCCGGGTTGTACCTGACGTTTATATCGGCCTGATGCTCCAGCAGGAAGAGCGCACTCTTGCTGTCCTGCCTCTGGATTGCCATGTGCAACAGCGTCTGCCCGTCTGACATGGTGTCATTGATGGAGGCCCCGGATCCGAGGAGCTGAGCTGCTATGATGTGCATGCCTAGGGAGGAACGGAGGCATGTTATTACGTCATGGAACACCAGATGGGTTTTTTAAGGACTCGGGAGACTGCAGCAAAGCTTTCCTTTCCCGTTGAGAACAACTCCAGGAGCATCCGCGGCTGCCCAGAAACTGAGGCTACCAGTCTGAACAACCAGCATACAGAAGGGGAGAGTTCTCAAAGGGTAGGTCCTATGGGTACAAGTCGGGGCCTCAGAAGGGACCGCACCTACCCACAGCGGTGCCAAGCGGCAGCTACCTGCTTGCGGAGAGGAGGGACTGGGCGCTGCCCCTAGCAAGCTGCTGCCTACTACCTCCCCTTCATCCCCCTGAAAAGCCGATGCGGCTGAGGACCAACGTTCCCTCTAAGCTGTGGAGTCCTGTGAGCAAAAATTCTGCTTTGTGAGCTACTGGCATTAAAGTTGTGAGCGAGTGATTTGGCTACTGCATAAATTAGTTTGCTCTGGAGCCATCCTTCCTGAGCTAAGACAAAAATGTGTGAGCCGGAGGCTAAAATAATGTGAGCTAACTCACACTAACTCAGCTTAGAGGGAACATTGCTGAGGACTGAACAAAAGGGGAAGCACTAGACTGGGGTATGTGGCCAGAACTGTCCCTCCCCTACTCACCTCGTGCGTTACTGAGGGAAGAGGAAGTGGGGAAGAGCTTCTTGCGCCACCAAACCATTCTTGTTATGGAAACTTAGATCCATATATACTTTTGTAACCAATGCCTAGTGAGATTTTTTTTTATTGTAAACACACAGCACTGGGGCCTGCTGCTTGAGCACCAGCTGGCACTAGGCATGGCGGCTGATGTATAAATACAAGGCACCATGGGCACAAATAAACGTCTATAGTTCTATACACAGTTCTCTGGCTTTAACATCTCATCCTAGCCAGCTTCTGTCTCCAACCTGAAAAGAATCTAAGAGGCGGGGGGAGTGAACAGGTAGAGAGGAGACGGACAAAGTAATGGATATAGTACTAAGGCAGGGCAGACCTACAGAAGTCCATCCTTAAACCCCACTGCCCAAACCTGTGGCCACTCCAGGCAGCAAACAGATCCACAGTGATTACCCTCCATCATCAGTTTTAGAACTTGGATCTCTCTTGCCTTTCTGCTCTACTGCCAAAGCTAAAGATGCTTGTCTGTGCCTTCTTAATCCGTCTAGGCGCTCTGAAACCATCCAGGGACTAGAAAATACGACTCTGGTCCTTACTCCAGTGGTTTCAGGCAAATCTCTTCTTCAGGTGCAGAGGGAACAGAGATGCCAGAGCAAACCAACTGCAAAGGATGATGTTCTATAGCACCACTATCTTCACCCCAGGCCAGTGTAGCTTTGAAGCTACAGCTGGAAAGCCATGACTCATACGGGGCCTTTATTAACTGGATTTGTCCAATCTGCCACAAGCCTACACGAGAAACTGAGTATGCATCATGGCTTCCCTTTCCCTTATCATGCACAGGGGTAATTTCCTCCAGGAGCGCACAGGAGCAGAGCTCCGGCAGTAAAGAGCCCAGGGGGCGGGCACATGCAACAAGCCCCACCTCCAGCTCCCAGCAGCCCTCAGTCAGAGCAAGAAGCAGCCAGGTAAGTTGCAGAGCCCCCCCTCCGGCCCAAAACAGTCCAGTGGCACCTTTAAGACCAAGTTTTATTCAGGTACAAGCTCTCCCTCCTCTGCCAGGACAGATCTGCACGTTCTCTCCCCCCCCCCCATAGCTAGCAACCCAAAACAGTCCAATGGAGCCTGAGCGCTGAGTGTTGCCTTCTGACATACTTCCGGTGATGCCAAGGTACACACTTGGCGTATGCAAATAAGTTATGCTAATGAGTTATGCGAGTGAGCTCCTGCACCTCTTTTTCTATGAAATGACCCCTGATCGTGCAAATAATCAGGAGAGGGTGGCTAAGACGTACTGCCCTGAGACACGGATCCACTTCTTACAACAACCTACTCCAACTCCTTAAGAGAGAGCTGCCTCTGAGTCTAGACACCTAGCTTGTCACTTCTTTATTGTTTTCCTTGAGATCTTCCCTCCAAAGAACACAGGCACTTTCCCACAATATCTTCACACTTGCCTGTCCATAATGCCAACCCCAATACTGTTTGGTCTCTGGAGTCCTTGAGACTGAAGTCAGGAATGATCTGCAAGTTGTTGGTGGCGTGAAGGGCGTTAGCTAAAAAATAAAATCAAATTTTAATGTTCTTCTGTTACTATTCTCCACATTACCGTTTTGCTTTGAAAAGAAATACTGGCGTTAACAATGGTATCTTGTTTATTTACGAGTTATTTCAGTAGATTTTACGCCACCCTCCCCCTGCAAGGGCAGGGCTCAAGGCGGTGTACAACACAGTAAATTTATGACAAATATAATTTTAAAACAATAAAAACACGTTACATGGCTCAAATGGGATTTCCAGAAATGATATCTTCCACCCGTAAGAATAAAGTCAGTGTAGAAAAAAATAAAGATGCACAAGATGATTATAGTACGCCCACGCAAGAGAGCCTTTACCTTTTTGTTCCAGTATGACCGACACCACATCTGGGTGGTTATACGCTATTGCCATGTGAAGGGGCGTCTGCAAATAGACATTATCCGCTGTGTTTGGGACGTTTGCCCATTTCTGGGCAGGCACCGCTTCCTCCGTCTGGATGTTGGGGTTCGCTCCTTGCTGCAGCAACTCTGCTGTGAGGTTGGCCAGGCCGTGTCGACAGGCTGTGTGCAGTGGCGTTTCTCCCTTTAAGAGAAGAGTTTGGTCGACTTAAGACACGATTGTTGGGGGGAAAGGAGGGGGAGAAAGAGAGAAAGAACCTCTTCAATACAACTTGGAAGCAGCATCTGTATGTAATGACAGAGCTGAGCACTTAACGGTGCGATTATAAGCAATTTTAACATCCTTCTAAGTCCAGGGGCTTGGCAGGGTGCAATTCTGCTCCAGGCTTCACTGTAGGGTTGCCAAGTCTATCTTCCACCCCCAGCGGGGGACTTTGGGGGCGTTCCTGGAGGGGGTGGGGCATCCCCGACGTGATGACGTCACATTGGGGATGTCCGCCGCCCGCCCACGCGCCGGATCTCCAGAAATGGCAGTTCCCTGCACTTAAAGGAGCCAGCGTTTCCCCTTTAAGAGCAGGAGTCGGCGTTTCCCCTTTAAAAGCAGCCGCGTTTCCCTTTTAAATGCACGAAGCTGGCATTTCCCTGCGAGCCTGTTCTCAAGCGGAGATCGGGCTTGGGATGAAACACAGGCTTGGGAGGAAACACGGGTTCCACACACTTAAAGGGAGAGAGAGGGGTGGCTGTGGGTGTTGGGGGTGGGGCTTCCCCCGCTGGCCATCTGGCCGGCGGCGGATAGAACCCCCCCCCCAAAAAAAAACGGGGGACCCCTGGCAAACCAGGGGGGTTCGGCAACCCTACTTCACTGTGAGAATGCTAAGAACGGGCCTGCCTGACAAAAACTGAGTGGCCATCTAGTTCAACATTCTCTTTCTTATAGCGGCTGGATACCTCCAAAGAAGCCTACGAGCAAGGAATCGAGACAATGGCCTATATATTTTCAGTGTTGCCTGTAGGAAACACAGCCGTTCACACTTTCCAATTCCACAAACGTGTCAAACAGCACAGCTTTATATGCCAAGTCACAAATGATGCATTGCATAAGGTTAAAGCAATACAGTACATGTAGATTTGATTGGAAAAGTGTTATTACATATATGCCAATTTCCCCTAGAATTTGGTTATTCTCCCTGAAAAACCAGTTTCTTCTCATGGCTTTAGAATTCCTAGAAATTTTACGTATCTATGTCTTAAATGCTGAAAGCCCTGAAGATCACTTCCAACAAGCCTTTGGGTTCTTTCCAACAGCCACCAACCCTTTAAAACGCTAAGGAGAATTAGGTATGTGAAACAGACACCTGATTCCTTGGAATCCAGAAGGGGCAAGGACAGGATCAGGCATCAGGATTCCATGTCCCCTACTCTACCTTTCCTCTCTCACTCTTGAAAACATGTGCCAGGGGATACTACTCAAAGAGATGCTCCTGCTACACTCACCATCTTTCCCACCCTTTAGTTGAGGAAGTATTGGATGAAATGGGCCCAACCTAAAATCCACTCTCCATCTCGCCCAGGGTAGAACAACAAACTGACCTATAGCACACCCATCTTTCCAGAAGTCGCTGGAAGCTGCAGTAAATGTTTTTGGTTTATTACTCAGTGCATTCCCCTCCCATGAGCTGCAAAAAGGGAACCGGTAAGCAGCCATTTATGGACAGCTACACTGAAACAGCCTTTTAATTCCTCCTCTTTACCCATTTGTTCCTGTGGTTGACTTTGGCACCGTGAGTCGCCAGGAAGAGCGCTGCAGCCTCGTTTCCTGCCCCTGCCGCCCTCTGCAGCAAGCTGATTCCTAGAGGCAACAGAAAATGGACACGGAGAGTTAAAACGGTAGATAAAAAACCATTCAAGTCGCCATCTTGTGTTTGCCAGTGCAAGGCCTCAGGGCAGCATTTTCTTCATCACTATCTTGTTTTACTACTTATAGCCATAAAGGTAAATCTAAAGGTTCCCTTGCTCGAAAGCCAGTCGAGTCCGACTCTAGGGTTGCGGTGCTCATCTCCATTTCAAAGCCGAAGAGCCAGCGCTGTCCGAAGACGTTTCCGTGGTCATGTGGCCGGCATGACTAAACACCAAGGCGCATGGAACACTGTTACCTTCCCACCGAAGCAGTACCTATTTATCTACTTGCAATGTCTTGCTTTCGAACTGCTAGGTTGGCAGGAGCTGGAACTAGAGACGGGAGCTCACTCCGTCTTGCGGCACCCGGGTCTTGAACTGCTGAACTACTGACCTTCCACAGCCTGCAGTTCAGCGTCTTAACCACTTAAGCCACCGCAGCTCCTACTTATAGCCATAAGAGCGAGTATTTTTTAAATGCAATGGTGTGGGATTTTGCCAGATTTTAAGAGCTGCATGAAAGACATGAGGGGGGAGCAGATTTACCAACCCCATTGCTCACAGTCCCCAGGAATGTTCACATTTGAGCAGCATGACTTCGTCTTAGCATGTGATCCTCTAACTTTCTACTTTCAGGAAAAAAAGGAGCCGTCTTCATGAAAAAAGAGGGAATCTCTCTTGAAATACAAACCATGGAGCGTCTCACCGATAGAAGAGTTAAAGATGCCTGCTTCCCTTTTTAGCAGATTCTATTCCAACAGGGATAATCTATCTAGGAAACATCTGAACTACCCTAAACTCTTATTTTGATTCTTCCTCCCATGGAATAGAAATAATTTTTGCCCCCTGTTTTGTCGGAGGAGGTGGGGGGGGGGGGGGTTTGCTAAAAATTCAGATGCAGCGAGAGGTTTGAAAACGCTTGCTCTGTACCTATCTCCCTATGATCTTATAACTATTTGCATCAGAACAAAGCAGACTGTCATTTCGCTGCCCTGCTCTCTTCTGCTTGACTTTCATCTTTCCCCTCTCCAGATGCCACTCTTTTCCTACAGGACTACTATTAAGGCCATGCAATCCTGACCAGTTTTTCAGCCCCTCACATCACAAGGGCTCCAGCTCTCCATTCCAAACAGAGTTTAAAACCTCTCAAGCCTGTGATGTCCTTTATGACTCCGAAATAGACACGCTAGACTTCAAAGTCAAAAGCCACTTTTTGCACAGCTAGACACTGTCGAGGCAGCCCCCTTGGGACCTCAAGAAGTACAGCTGCTGGTAACACTTAGACTTCACACAGCATCCCTACATTCTGAAGCTCTTGAGGAGTTGGAACTCAGTCACAGATTATTACTTCTGCCAATTGGTGGACCCGAGATGACCTAAAGAGATTTCACCTGAAGGTACTTTGTTCTTGACATCTAGTTATACTGCTGTAACAGAAACCCTAAGACCTTGTGTGCGTAAAAGTGCTGTCAAGTTGCAGCTGTCTTATGGTGACCCCCATGGTGTTTTTAAGTTAAGAGAGTAACAGGGAGATGTTTGCCACTGCCTTTCTCTACATAGCGACCCTGGGATTCCCTGGGGGTCTCCCCTCTAAATACTAATCAGGGCCAACCCTGCTTCGCTTCCGAGAGCTGAGGACATCAGGCTAGCCTGGGCCGTCCAGGGCTGTGGTCACACACACTAAATAATCCACTTTCAGGGTGTGTTCAGACGGGCTATTTAGTCCGCTTTTGGCCTGCCTCAGAAACTGATTTTATTTGCGCGATCACACGATCAACATCTGCCTCCCGTCCCCAGCTGTCGCTTTCCGCCTCAAAGCAGCTTTAACCCGGAGTATTTTGATACCAAGTCCCCAAGTCGTGTTTTCCTGATTCTCCGGTTCCAGCCGCATTTCCCCCGTCTGATCGTGCCTCCGGTGTCGAGCCACTTCCTGTTTAAACCCCCTCCCCACTCAAAAGCTGCCCAAGGCTTCCGCTTCTCGCCCACCATTTTTAAAAAAGCACTGGTGGTGTGCACATAGGCGGAGGTCCGCCACAGGGTTATTAAAAACTATGTTTAAAACGTGCCTAGTCTTAACCTTTAGACGAGTTCGGGATCTTACGGAGGCCATTTTCGGCGGTAAACATTTAAAGGGAAGTGTTCCTTTAAAGTTTAAAGGGAAGAGTTACAGCAGTCGGGTTGAAGTGGAAATCGCTGTTCTGCGCAGGCGCGAAACTTTTAGTTCCACAGATGGCTGCCTGTGCACATGCCCAAACTGAGAGAGAGAAAAATCCAGTTGGAAAGTGCACTGAAAAGTGGCTTGAAGGTGGATTCTTTAGTGTGTGTGACCACAGCCTAAGTCAAGGCCCTAAATCCTTACTAGGGCTCAAGAGTGCCACCCAGAGATTCTGGGATCTTGGAACCCGGGGGTTTACATAAGAATAACCCATTCATTTCCATTCCATGTTGGGCCATCCTGTGAAAGGTAATCCTTTTCAGACAATAGGAGAACTGGTTGGAACAAGACCCCCTGTTTTTCATGGAACTTCAGGGCTACTAACAGATGCTTGGGGGTAGGGACTATCATTTTAATAATTTTCTGAATGGTAACAGTGGCCTGTGACATCAGAAATGAGATGGGGATATTGGCTTGGCTACTCCAGCTAGTCAGTTCTACAGAGGGGGCTGGGCTTAGGACAGGTTCCATTACCCTTAAATACCAATCTGTTCTTTGTCTCCACTTGGAATAACATAAAATCTGGTAACCCCAAAAATGCTGGGTAGGGCTTAAGAACTCCTCCATTGTTTTGATACTGCAAGAAACTCCACTCGTGTTCTGAGGTTACATGTGCAGCCTAGGTTACACGTACTTAGTTGAGTTTGAGCAAATAGATCGCTTTTTATTGAAGTTGGTGTGCTGTGATATTGTGTGCTCTTCCCTGTATTTGTGTTTGTCCCCTTTTCCCATCCCTTTCGGACTCCAACCACCCTTTTACCTCTCCCCCCCCCCCACTCTTTTTTAAGAAACCTTTTTACAAAGACTTTTTTCAGCTTTGTTTTGTTTAGAACAATCTATTTCTCTGGGAAATTCCTCTTAACCTCTTCTCTGTGTGCTAGATCACATGGGTGTTACATAGTTTGTTAAGGCATTTTACAGTATTTCCACCCTGTTACTTCATTATTGGTCTAGTACTGCACTAGAAGGATAATTTTATTGCTCCCTTATCTGTACTTATTTGTTTTCTATTATAATGGTCTATGACCGTAATAAAGAATGATACTATCTCTATGGGTCAGTCTAGATGTTCTCAGGAAATCCCCGAGTAGTGACAGCTGGATACCGGGGTGTTTTCCAGGGAATCCTTCCCCTCTTTCTTTCGTAACAACAATACATACAATTCACAGTTGGCTCCTTATACATAACTGAAAAGTTTTGGTTTGGGGTCAACTATAAGCTCCTGCCAACCTAGCAGTTCGAAAGCAAGAAATTGCAAGTAGATAAATAGGTACCACTTCGGTGGGAAGGTAACAGTGTTCCATGTGCCTTGGTGTCTAGTCATGCTAGCCACATGACCACGGAAACGTCTTTGGACAGTGCTGGCTCTTCGGCTTGGAAACGGAGATGAGCACCGCAATCCTAGAGTCGGATTCGACTGGCTTTCGAACGAGGGAAACCTTTACCTATAAACTCAACTAACCATTCACTGCTAAACCTAGAGAAGCCACCACCTCTCAGCTTCATTTTTCCATCTAAGAAATGGGAATACCAGCAGCATCGTACAACAAGATTGCTGGTACACGGGAAAGTAGCCCAGGGCCTTCAGCTAGCTTCCTAAATGGTCTTCAACTGAAACAAGGTGCATAGCCCCAAGAAACAGTGTACCTCGTATTCTAGAAGGTTAACGACAACCAAGCGTAGAGCTCAAGCTAATACGAAGCTCTACTATCTGATTGTCTGGCCCTTTGGAGACATTGGAAGGAGTCAGTAAGAGCACCAAAGTAGGGCAACCCTACTCAGCCATGAAACTCACTAGGTAGAACTGGCCACTCACAAAAGGACTCTTCCAAGATCTTCAGCACAGCTGTGCCTACAGAGCAGAACGGGAAGACTGTAAACAAAGTCCCACAGGGCTTTCGGCTGAGGCGACGGACATCCAATCACCTGGCCTCCCCTGCAAAGCGACCTGCAAAGCGACCCTGCAAAGAGGCCCTACTGAAATTGTATACGACTACCAACTCTCCAGCTGATGGAGCTAATTTAGTTTAAAAAATTAATTTAAGTATTTTTAGATTTTTGCCTGATTAGCTGGTTGTATCGTGGGTGAAACAATGGTGTTACTCGTCCTGAGCCTGCGTGCGGGAAGGGCGGGATACAAATCCGATAAATAAATAAATAAAATTAAAATACCCTCCTCTACTGGAGGAAAAGGAAAAACTTAAGAGCTCCCTGGATGAAGGGTAAGATGTAAGAAAAACAGACCACACCCTGAGTTTCAGAAGTCAACATGGAGCCACAGGGAAGTAGTTCCTGCCCAGATGCAAAAAGCAACGTTAAATCCTAGTTTCTTGCCCCCACAGATCCCTGCCCCACCACCATGCGCACTTACCCGTTACAGTATCAGGCGCATCCGTGTTGCTGCCACGCTGGATAAGCCTGGCTGCAAAGCTGTTCTCATCAAAGGAGGTGCCGTTCTCCACCGGGACATCCTCAAAGGGGTTGACAGATGGGTCCGAAGAGACAGTGATGTACTGAACCGCGAGCCACAGGGCGGTGCTCCCGTCGTGGTCCTTCAGCTCCAAATCAAGCCTTAAAAGAAGAAATGCAAATGTCTTAGTCTGACCCATAACACTCCTAACTGTGATTAGATTAATTTACCTCTACCCCCATCTTTCAGCCTCACCTGGCCTCCAAAAACAGGTTGTATAACAAATGAAATACAGGCTGCATTCACACACACTCAATAATCCACTTTCAATGCACTTTCCAACTGGATATTACTGTGTGAACCGCCAAAATCCAATTCGAAAGTGCACTGAAAGTGGGTTGAAAGTGGATTATTTAGTGTGTGTGATCGCAGCCACAATTTCATAAGAATACTGTGATTAGTTGTAGTAGAAACAGAACTGGCAGCTAGAAGAGAGTCCTAAACCGACGTCAAAGGTCTAGTTGAATGAAAGTGTTTTATCTGGCGGTGCCTAAAAGAGGCAAGCCATCTGACAAGTATATCCAAGGGGAATACTTTAAGGTCTGGCTACCACCACAGGCCTTGCTTCTAGCAGCCACCTGCTGATGGGGAGGGGGCCACCAATTTTGAGATGGGATTTTGCTCTCAGAAGGACAAGGGTGCACTGCGGTGGCTTCTTTCCAGGACACCACATTTTGAACTGCTCCAAAGTCACACCACATTGTTTAAGCGCTGAAGGTTGCCTGACAGTCCAAGTGCCAAACAGGTACCAATTTGCCGCAAACTCTATCCCATAGTTATATACAGCACACCTTGGACAACAGTCTCCAGCAGTGTTCCCTCTAAGCTGAGTTAGTGTGAGCTAGCTCACCATTTGTTAGCCTCCGGCTCACACATTTTTGTCTTAGCTTCGGAAGGATGGCTCCAGAGCAAACTCATTTATGCAGTAGGCAAATGGCTCACTCACAACTTTAATGGCAGTAGCTCACAAAGTAGAATTTTTGCTCACAAGACTCCAGAACTTAGAGGGAACATTGGTCTCCAGTTAAAATGGCAGGTCTAGGGAA